CAACATCTATTTATGATAAAAACTCTCAACAAAATGGGTATAGAAGGAAAGTACCTCAACATAAAGGCTATTTATGACAAACCCACAGCCAACTCAACGGGGAAAGACTGAAAGCCATTCCTCTGAAAACGGGAACAAGACAAGGCTGCCCACTCTCGCCACTCTTTCTCAACACAGTACTGGAGGTTTTGGCCAGAGCAATTAGGCAAGAAAAAGGAATAATAGGAATCCAAATAGGCAAGGAAAAAGTGAAAGTCTCACTATTTGCAGATGACATGATTTTATATATAGAAAACCCTAAAGAATCCATTGGAAAACTATTAGAAATAATCAACAACTACAGGAAAGTCGCAGCGTACAAAATCAACCTAAAAAATCAGTTGCATTTCTGTATGCTAATACCGAACTAACAGAAAGAGAGCTCAAAAAAATAATACCATTTACAATTGCATCAAAAAGAATAAAAGATCTAGGAATAAATCTTACCAAGGAGGTGAAAGACCTATATGATGAAAACTACAAGAAAAAGAAAGAAAGAAATCGATGATGACATAAAGAAATGGAAAGACATCCCATGCACATGGATTGGAAGAATAAACATAGTTAAAATGTCTATATTACCTAAAGCAATCTACAGATTCAATGCAATACCAATCAGAATCCCAAAGACAGTCTTCACGGAAATAGAAAAAAGAATACTAAAATTCATATGGGGCAACAAAAGATCCCGAATATCTAAAACAATCCTAAGAAAAAAGAACAAAGCTGGAGGCATCACAATCCCTGACTTCAAAACATACTACAAAGCAACAGTAATCAAAACAGTGTGGTACTGGTACAAAAACAGACACACAGATCAATGGAACGGAATTGAAAGCCCAGAAATAAAACCACACATACACGGACAGCTAATTTTCAACAAAGGAGCTAAGAATATACAATGGAGAAAGTAAAGTCTCTTCAATAAATGGTGTTGGGAAAACTGGACAGCCACATGCAAAAGAATGAAAGTGGACCGTCTGCTGTCACCATTCACAAAAATTAACTCAAAATGGATCAAAGACCTGAAGGTGAGACTTGAAACTATAAAACTCATGGAAGAAAATATAGGCAACACACTATTTGACATTGGTCATAAAGGAATCTTTTCGGATGGCATGCCTACTCAGACTAGGGAAACTAAAGAAAAAATAAGCAAGTGGGACTTCATCAGATTAAAGAGCTTCTACAAGACAAACGAAACAGGATCAAAATGAATAGACAACCCACCAGCTGGGAGAAAATATTTGCAAAACATATATCTGACAAGGGGATAATCTCCATAATATATAAAGAACTCACACAACTGAACAAAAAAACAAACAACCCAATCAAAAAATGGGCAGAGGAAATGAAGAGACGCTTCTCCAAAGAAGATATACAGATGGCCAATAGGCACATGAAAAGATGTTCAACATCACTAATCATCAGGGAAATGCAAATCAAAACAACACTAAGATATCACCTCATGCCCGTTAGAATGGCTATAATCACCAAGACAAAAAACAACAAATGTTGGAGAGGATGTGGAGAAACGGGAACCCTCATACACAGCTTGTGGGAATGCCAACTGGTGCAGCCTGTATGGAAAACGGTATGGAGATTTCTCAAAGAATTAAAAATAGAAATACCCTATGATCCAGCTATCCCACTACTGGGAATCTATCCAACAAACCTGAAATCAACAATCCAAAGAGGCTTATGCACCCCTATGTTCATTGCAGCATTATTCACTATAGCCAAGAAGTGGAAGCAACCCAACTGTCCCTCAACTGATGATTGGATCAAGAAGATGTGGTATATATACACAATGGAATACTACTCAGCCATAAAAAAAGACAAAATCATCCCATTTGCAACAACATGGATGGACCTGGAGGGTATTATGTTAAGTGAAATAAGCCAGAAAGAGAAAGACAAACACCATATGATCTCACTCATATGTGGAATATAAACCAACGCAAGGACAGAGAAAACTGTATTGTGGTTACCAGGGGCAATGGGGTTAGGGGGCGGACAGAAGGGGTGAAGGGAGACGTATATGGTGATCGACAAACAAAAACGTACAAGCAAAATTTCACAATGTTATAAACTATTAACACATCATTAAAAAAATACATCTTTACGTAACTTTAATTATGAGAGAAATAAAAGGAGAAAGAGATATGTAAATATTACACATATAAGAAATATTAGGGGCTGGCCCCATGGCTTAGCAGTTAAGTGCGTGTGCTCTGCTACTGGTGGCCCGGGTTTGGATCCTAAGCGCGGACCGACGCACCACTTGTCTGGCCATGCTGAGGCGGCGTCCCACATAGAGCAACTAGAAGGATGTGCAACTATGACATACAACTATCTCCTGGGCCTTTGGGGAAAAAAAAGGAGGAGGATTGGCAATAGATGTTAGCTCAGAGCTGGTCTTCCTCAAAAAAAAAAAAAAGAGTTCACAATCAAAAAAAAAAAAGAAACATTAATTTATGGTTGTTTTAATATAAAAAGAACATATTTTCAAATATTTGTGGTATATCTTAAGCATACAAAAAAGTAGAAATAAAAATATAAAACACCAAAAAAACCAGAAAAACCTTTTTCAGGTAGGAAAGACTGATCCAGCTAACAATTATTAATACTTATCATTTATGGAGCACTTACTATGTGCATTTAACCCTGCCAACATTCCTAAAGGATAAGTACTATTATTATCCCCATTTTACAGATGATGTAACTGAGGCCAAAGAGGTTAAGAAACTTGCCCATAACCATCCACTTAGTAAATTGTTGAGCCAAGATTTGAACTTAAGTCTGTTTAGGCCCAGATAACCACTCTGCCAACAGGAGAAATAACTGGATGACCTACATGATCATATGGTCAAAAGAAGTGTGTGTGTGTTTCAGGATGGGACATATGACCCGAGGAAAAAGAGGGAGTGAAGTAGAAAATATTTACAATATAGGGGTGTAAGGGATTACAGAGTTGGGAACAAAAAGAATTAGGAGCAGAGGAGAATGAGTCATTTTATAAGATGAAGAATACTGTATCTTCTGAGACCATAAAAAAAAGATATGGAGAGCTATGAAGACCAAAACTATAAGATTTTGCCATAAAATATTAGTATATATTTTAGTTCAAATTGTGAAAATCTCAACTGAAGTAAATATACAGTCATGTGTTGTTTAATGACAGGGATATATTCTGAGAAATAAGTTGTTTGGTGACTTCGTTATATGAACATCATAGAGTGACTTACACAAACTTAGATGGTATAGCCTACTACACAGCTAGGCTACATGGTACAATCTTATGGGGCCATCATCGTATATGCCGTCCCTCGTTGCCCAAAACGTCATTATTTGGCGCATGACTGTATGTGTAGGATCATTTGAAAGATATGTTTCATTTACTCTCCCAGATAATTTTAATTTTTAATCTTGGGCCAAGACAGACTTTTAAAAAGCTGAGCTTAAAATTATAAGAATTACAGAATTATTTTGGAATTTCTTTTTGACCTACGCGCCAATGAAAAGCTTTTTTCTCATAAACAGTGCAAATTATGGAATGAACTTTTGTGTCTCAGTTTGCTTTTGCTTTTCCAGAGCATATTCAAATTTGAACTCAACTTTAATAATTCTGTATGGACCTGTTTCTGCATAGCCATATCCCAAATTTTGCCTGGTTCTGATCTTCCATCTGCATTTTTCCTCACCTTCATTTTCATTGATTTAGTTTTGTCCAACTTACTGGTAGGTTAAGGTAATCCACTGCAATAGCATAGCAAAATAATGCAGGAAACAAATAAATGCTTAAAACGTACAAGAGACCTGGTCATATCCTCCTCTTCCTCAAAAAGCGCAGAGTCCTGAGAACACCAAGCTGAGGGAAGAGAAATAAATCAGATTTACTTCAGAGCTCCCAACAAAGGAGTACAGTAATATCTCCTATAATGATCCTCAGAGCATTGAGAAATGTTCACCACCACCAGGCTACAGAGATACTGAAATGTACATGGATGACTAATTAAATCACATAGGGTCTGATAGGAATTTCTGGAGGGCTAAATATAAATAATGAATCTATTGACAACATAGTATTTCTCTAGGATCCTGCTATTTTATTCTTAATGGGAAATTTATCCTAATTACATATCCTAATAAATACCACAAAGATTTAAGGATTAAATAATTTATGAAGCACTGTAAAGAATTTGGAAAAAACTTGAGACAGGTTATAGGCATTATGGAACATTCATATGATGGAATGAAATGCAGTTATGATTCTAATGATGTTTTAAAATAACTTAATTATTTTTTTACCCTAAAAAGTCAGGGCCTTTAGGTTAAAAACGGAAGACTGACTACTTGCATTTATTTCTGTTCTCTCCCAAACCCAACCAAAATGAAAGTAAAGGAACAAAGGAGACTGAATCTCACAAGGACAAAGAATATAGAAGACAAGATATGTCTTGTCAGCAGATAAGAAATGGCAACAAAATTTTAGAAGCTAGAGAGCAGACAGATGACTGGTACCTTACTTAACCAGAGAAAGCTGAAGCTTAAGTGGGGCGGTGGTGGGGGGCAGGGACCATGGCAGAACCCTTTAAAGGCTCAGGAATGGAGGCACGAGATACTTCTGCAGGCAGGAGTTTGGGGTGGGACTAAAAAATGGAAATGAATATAGAGTTGAAGCAATGTGGAGAAAATAAAAGAATTAAGTGAAAGTTGTCATATTGTAAGATGAGGTGCCCCACCCCCAACTTCCTTCGTTTGCCTCCCAAAAGCAGGAGTTAATGACTGCTTCCTGGGGAAATCGACTAGCTCAAAACAAAATGGATACAGATCCTGACATACGGTCAAACTTCAAACTCTAATAAAACACCATATTAGAAAGAAGGGCACTGAGAAGAGTGGGTGGGGGTGGGGTGAGGTAACAAGGAAGGGGTTAGGTAGAAAACAGAGATAAATCCTTATCCCCATTGTCAAAAGTCAATAGGAAATATCTAAAACTGAGAAATCAAGCATTAGCAGTACGAGGATGTTATTCAGAAAGGTGGAGCTGAATACTGGAATATCCAGAAAAAAACGTTCAAAGGTTGCCTCTGGAGAGTGGGAACAGGGGATGGGTAAAGATCGAATAGAAAACTTTTGTTTATGGTTATATATTTAACAGCATTTTTTTAAAACGTATTTAAGAAAAACAAATTACATTTAAAACACTTATTTTTAAAAAGAATCAAATAGTCAAGTGAATACAATAAAAAACAAATGTCTACCCTGCACAGTTAATAACACCCAGGTGAATTTTCTTGGTAGACGTACTGAATTTCATAACTCTTTATACTCTTTCTATCCCCGAATGTACAGCCTTCCTCTCCTAAACTCTGCCCATCTCTGAGCCACCTCACCTCTCCTTTCCACCATCTGGGTCAAATGCTCCATTGTCACACAGCTACCGCTGATCTCTGAAGGTTGAGATGTCACTCAGGCCTTGCCCACACTGGACAGAAAGGTAAAGATAGGCTGCAGGTCCAGCAGTTCCTGGGTCCCCTCTATCTCAGGACTCTCCAGAGTCTGGGGGAGGTCTCAGGTCAGGAGGTCTTCTTCCATGATAGATACCTGCTCTTCAGGCTTCTTTCTACTCACATCACAGATCTGTCTTATCTTTGTGGAGCCAGGACCTGTGGGCTTATGATATAAATCCAATTTATCTGATGTCTTCTCACTGGATCCCTACAATAACTAGCCTCCAAGATGGCCCCCAATGATCATTGCCTTCTGCTTTTTCTACACCCCTCCCACACTGAATAGAGTTGACCTGTATAACCAATAGGATACTGCAGAAATGACAATGTGTGACTTCCAAGGTTAGGTCATGAAAGACACTGTGGCTTCTGTCTTGCCCATTTTTGAAACATGCACTTTGAGGGAAGCTAGCCACCAGGCCATGAAGACACTCAACCAGCCCTAGTGGGAGGCTCCTGCCAGCAGCCAACACTAATTTGCCAGCCATCTTGGAAGCAAATCCTCCAGCCCGAGTCTAGCCTTCCAATGACGGCAGCCCTGCTGACATCGTGACTGCAACTTCATAAAATATCTGAGCCAGAATACCCAGCTAAAGTCACCCCCCACTCCCCAAGGAAACTGTGAGATAATGTTTATTGTTAAGCCACTAAATTTTGAGGTAATCTGTCACATAATAATAGATAAAGAGTACAGTCCCAAGCAATTACCTTCCTTGCTTGTAATTCACATTCCCTGGAGTCACTGAACAGATATGCTGGATGCAGAGACAGTAGGAGTGTGGAGGAAAACTCAAAAACTCAGCAACCCAAGTTGAACCAGGTGCTCAACAGAGACACCAAGAGTCTAGAAACCAAGTGAATACAATAGTGATGGTCACAGAACATCTGCTCCTCAAATATCCTCTGTGAGCATATAGGTGTAGGCCTGATGCAGTGACAGATATAAAATTGAGTCAAAAAACACTCACATTTGTAGCAACCCCAGATTTGGAGTCAGAGAGTTGCAGCTACTCCATTTCCTACCTATCTTGGTAATTGAGGTAAAGGAGAGTTGCAGTTTAGAATTCCCATTCTCTTCATTTGAAATGAGAATTATACTCAAGTCACAATGATATTGGATGAATAAATAAAATGGCTATTAAGTTAATAAATATTAATTTATCATCTGCTATGAGCCTTTACTAGGTAAAAGGTAAAAAAAAATGATACACAAGCAAGTAGACTAATCCTTGCCCTGTATGATAAAACAGAAATAATAAAACAGAAAACACTCAATTATAATAAATTTTGAGAAGTGCTATGCTTGGTATATACTCCTAACATCCTTCACATGGTTTCTATTTTTTTTCCTATGGCAATTATCACTAACAAACTATGTAACTTATTTATCATACATATTCTGTCCACTCCCTCATTTAAACTCCATGAAGGGCCGGCCCCGTGGCTTAGCGGTTAAGTGCGCGTGCTCCACTGCTGGTGGCCTGGGTTCGGATCCCAGGCACACACCGACGCACCGCTTCTCCAGCCATGCTGAGGCCGCATCCCACATAAAACGACTAGAAGGATGTGCAGTTATGACATACAACTATCTACTGGGGCTTTGGGGGGAAAAAAATAAATAAATAAAATCTTTAAACTCTATGATAACATGGATTTATTTTCATCTGTTTTTGCCATTGATAGTAGCTACTCAAAAAAATGTTGATAAAATGGTGTAGCCACTATGAAAAACAGTATGATAGTCAAAAAATCAAAAATAGAATTACCATATGATCCAGAAATTCCACTTCTGGGTATATACCCAAAAAAACTCAAAGCAGGAACTCAAACAGATATTTGTACCCCCATGTTTATAGCATCATTATTTGCAATAGTCTAAAGGTGGAAGCAACCCAAGTGTCCACTGACAGATGAATGGATAAACAAACTATGGTATATACATACAGTGGAATATTACTTGACCTTAAAAAGGAAAGAAATTCTGACACGTTTTAACATAGATGAACCTTGAGGACATTATGCTAAGTGAAATGAACCAGTCACAAAAGAACAAACACTGTAGGATCTGGCTTATATGAGGTACATAAAGTAGCCAAATTCAGAGAGACAGAAAGTAGAATGGTGGTTGCCTGGGACTGGGGGATTGAAGGATTAGGGAGTTATTGTTTAATGGGTACAGAGTTTCTGTTTTGCAAGATGAAAAGAGTTCTTTGGATGGATGGTGGTGATAGTGGCATAGCAATATGCATGTAACGCTACTGAACTGTACACTTAAAAATGGTTAAAATCGGGCCGGCCCTGTGGCTTGGTGGTTAAGTGCGTGCGCTGCGATGCTGGTGGCCCGGGTTCAGATCCCGGGTGCGCATCGAGGCACCACTTCTCCGTTCATCCTGAGGCCGAGTCCCACATGCAGCAACTAGAAGGATGTGCAGCTACGACATACAACTATCCACTGGGGCTTTGGGGGGAAAAAATAAAATAAATAAAATCTTTAAAAATGGTTAAAATGGCAAATTTTTGTGTTTTTTTAGCTTTATTAAAGTATAATTGATATACAAAAAATTGCACACATTTACTGTATATGTCCTGATAAGTTTGGACATATGCATATATCTATGAAACCACTACCACAACCAAAATACTAAACATATCCATCACCTCGAAAAATTTCCTTGTCTTCTTTTGTGTTTTATGTTTTTCTGGTAAGAACACTTAACATGATATCTATTCTCTTAACATATTTTAAAGCGCATAATACTGTATTGTTAATATAGGTACTATGTTTTACAGATCTCTAGAACTTATTCATCTTGCGTAACAGAAACCATGTCCCCATGGAAAAACAATTTTCCATTTTCCTCTTTCCCCAGCCCCTGGCAACTACCATTCTATTCTCTGCTTGAGTCTATTTTAGATACTCCATATAAATGGAATCATGTAGTATTTGTCCTTTGACTGGCTTATTTCACATAGCATAACGTCCTGAAAGTTCATCTATGTTGTCACAAATGGCAGGATTTCCTTCTTTCTTAAGGCTTAATAATACGCCATTGTATGTGTATACCACATTTTCTTTATCCATTCATCTGTTGATGGATAGATGTTTCCATATCTTGGCTATCGTGAATAATGCTGTGAAGAACATGGGGGTGCAGATAATAAGATGGTAAATTTTATGTTGCATGTTGTGTTATCTGCATTTTACCACAATTAAAAAATGTATATAGGGCCGGCCCCGTGGCTT